AGTAAGTTACTTAAACTCCTTGCGCTACAGTTTGCACATCCGTTAATGATCAGAATCTACCTTATAGGGTTGTGGTGTGGATTATTTATAAAGTATCTCTGAAATACCAGCTATTATTATCATAAACCCTCACCTCATCTCACAGATAAATAGTATCTTCCATTTTCTCAATTCAACACAACCTCAGTCTCTAGATACTGCATATCAATTCCCAGAACCCTTAACAAGTATGGCTGGTCTAACAGGTTTCTTGCAGCACGTCTCACGGAAGTGGGCTTGGAGTTCAGTCCAGTCCAGTTCTGGCTGAATATCTGGTACACCTGTGAGTCTGCCCTGTGTGGATTGGCCTTGAACTCCAGGCCAGCCTATGGTCATCCAGGGCCACCCCAGGGATTGCAGCCATATCAGAGCCTGGTGCAGATGTGACTTGGCCCCAGCCAACTGCTTATTGGCCCATCCATTTTCTGCCACCAAAAGCATGCCCTGAATGCTTCAGAAGCCCAGCACTTCCCTGGGGACCATCCTGCTGTTTCCTGCACTGCCCATTCTTGTTCATCTCCGTAGAAAACACATTTCTCCTCCTCACTGCCTGGCAAAACACTACTCGCCCTTCCAAGTTTTATTTCATTCTCATCTCCTCTACCTGGGAGCCCCCAGACAGTGCTTTCCTTCTGTACCAAGTCTCTTAGTTACATCTACATCTCTTAGTTAAGTCTACTTAGTTACATCATTGACATGATTTTCCAGGTCAGTGGATAATATTCTGGCTGATTCCTCCACTGGACTGTCAACTCCTAGCAAGCCCAGATACACTGGGGAGGCATTTCTGAATGACCAAATGACTTTGGACTCATCTCAGTTAAGCCACTTGCTCGTGGGCTTTTGGTCAATGTTAAGAGTCAGATGAAGTCTGAGCTCCTAGAGATTTCCTCTCTGCTGAAAGTGGGCCAGACATGTGAATTCTTACATCACTGAAGGGTACAGTAGAAGTTACTGCCCTTTTTGAGGAAGTTACAAAGGAATAATATAATTATTTGTTTCTTAAGCATTTCTGAGAAAGGAGGAAGAAAAAAAACTCTATAATTTCAGTTTGTGTCATTGGGCAAACAGATATAATCTATGAGGGACCAGCTAATGTATGGATATGTAAAAGATACTTACAAATTTTTCATGAGCTCTGAAGTTGTTGCAACTTATTTACTTCTGTAATAGAGTTCTAATGAACTTGAAGGGTGCTGGAGATAGCCGTAAAATGTTACACTAAGAGCCTTGTAGAATCACAGAATGTAAGAGTTACAAGTGACCTTGCAGACCATTATTGGTTCTTGATCATGAGCGCATAATAAAATTTTCACTGGTCCACAGAAAACTGAGATAGATTTGGATAATCAGCTGTCACATTTCTTTAAAAAGTAAGAAAAATTGGGCTTCCCTGGTGGCGCAGTGGTTAAGAATCCCCCTGCCAATGCGGGAGACACAGGTTCGAGCCCTGGTCTGGGAAGATCCCACATGCCGTGGAGCAACTAAGCCCATGCGCCACAACTACTGAGCCTCCACTCTAGAGCCCGTGAGCCATAACTACTGAGCCCATGTGCCATAACTACTGAAGCCTATACGCCTGGAGCCCAGTGCTCTGCAACAAGACAAGCCACCGCAATGAGAAGCCCCCTCTCGCAGCAACTAGAGAAAGCCCGTGCGCAGCAACAAAGACCCAACACAGCCAAAAATAAAAGTAAATTTAAAAAAAAAAAGTCAGAAAAATTCAATTTAAAGGGTCATTTCTATTCTGAGATTAAATTTTCCCCACTTTTATGGTGTTAATATATTCTTTCTTTTATGAAACATGGTGATTATGAATGGTAGTTTCAGCTTTTTTTTTTTAAATGTAGCCTATTTATCTCTGTTCCTTATTATTATCCCAATTGGTTAAATTTTTTAAAATTGAAATATAATATGCATATATTCCCAATTAATTTTAATAGCCCTGTATTTGTAATAGCTTTCTAGCTTGGCAAAATGAAAAGTTGGGCAACCCCAGATAAGTTTCCCAAACGGTTTTTTAAATAAAATTTATGGGTCTGATTTATGAAAATTTATGAACCCTGATTGAGTTGAACCTCCTATTTGCAGAAAAGGAAATAAGCATCTATAGAGGTTAAATGTTAAAGCATTATACATGCACCCAAGGTCCCCTAGCTAGTCAATAGCAAAGCCAAGACTAGAACCTGGGCTCTTGCCTCCCTGAAAGTCCAGAGATCTCACAGCCAACTCAACTTCACAGGTGTTCAATATTAGTACAGAGTGTAGAATTTGATCCTAAAGCCACTTACAGTGCAGAACTGAGATGAACATGAGTTTTATGCAGTCAATTAGATTGCATGTTAAGCTGTACTTTGCTTTGCCACAATTATCTCTTACAATCATGACAAATAATCTTTACCTGGTATGAGTTATGCATTTTTGTGATTTTCATCTGATCAAAACTCAGCAGGATAGCATAAAATTTTATAAATATACAGAAATAAATATGCCCTTATTTCATCACCTCCATTTATAAGCTACTTAGTTCATTTTCTTCCTTATCAGTCACAAAACAGGAGCTGCCACCATTTTCCCCTTGCAGTTCACATCACATAGTTCTAATGCAATAATTCTGCATCTAGGACAAGATGGGCCAGCTTATTCACGCCCATCTATTGAGCCATGTCAATATCAGAAGATAACACATTACCAAGACAAACATAAAAGCCCTGGAGCCAGAAAAATATTCAACACTGTGACGCCAAAAATTTTTTAATCCATGTATCTTGATTCCTCATTATTATTCTAATTAGTTTTGTAGTCGCCTTGTTTATGGGAGTTTCTAATTCCTGCTGTTAACTGAAGTTGCTGTTCAGTATGCAGGCTCACATTCTTTTTCCCCTTAAGAATTCTGAACTACCAGCCATAAACACAGCCCTATTGCTTTAAAGATGCCGAAATAAAGATGCTCAAACAAAAGCCCTTACCTAAAGTAAGGCAGGTGCCCGGTACACTTTAGTATCTTACTTGGATCCCTGGGTCTTTCTTTTTTTCCAGTTTTGAAAATTTGAAATAATTTTAGACTTACAAAAATGTTGCAAAAATAAAACATCTATGTGTACCCTTCACCCACCTTTCTCTGCCCTTTTTCTGCCTCATGATGCAGTCTAGGATCCCATGTTGCATTTAATTATTGTATCTCCTTAGTCTCCTCTGTGACTGCTCCTCAGTCTTTTTTTGTCCTTCACGATCTTGATCTCTTTGAAGAGTACTGGTCAATTATTTTGTACATGATCCCTCAATTGGGTTCATGTCATGGCTTCTCCTGAATGGACTGAGGTTCTGCATTTTTGACAGAAAACCACACAAGTGATGTGCTTTTTTCAGTGCATCATATGAGGGGGATGTAATGTCAATAGTCTTCTTACTTGTGATGTAAACCAAGTAACTAACAAAGATGGTGCCCTTGGCTTCTAATTGCTCATATTCTATCACCTAAGCTCTTTATTGGAGCAGAGGTGACAACTAAGGTACTAGTACCCTTACACAGGGTGGGAACAGAAGGGACAGGTCTTCCTGACCTTTCACACGTAGCTACCATAGCAATGGGCTTCTGGAGGGCTGGCGCCCTAAACAGAAGCCTGAGAGAACAGACCACAGGACATAAGCCATCTGATAAAGGAGCTATGAGATAACACATCCGAGAAGTCAAGTCACTGTCAGACACAGGTAAGAGGCCTAGATCAGGCAAGGGCAGCACGAAGGTGGCCCTTCCTCCAGAAGGGGAACTGATACAGAAAGTGTTTGTGTCTTTCTAGATTTCTGTTCTTCCTTCCCTTCATCCTCTACTTTTGTTTACTTTAGTTTTCTTTGACGATGCCTTCAACATTCAGCTGATCTCTGATTTTAACAAAATCCCAATAAGAATATGTATCTACTGCTTTGGGGATAATTATTACAAGTTAATTTCTATAAACTGCCACAAATAACAGCACCCCTGCCGTTCATCTTGTCATCTATCTGTCCCCGGGAGCCAGATGGGGGTACACGTACAATCTAGTACAAAACTATACCCCTCAATCCTGGAGATAACACATGAACCAAGGTTCTTTCTTTCCTTTTTTAAATTGAGATATAATTCACATACCCTTTTAAAGTGCACAATTCATCAATGTTTAGTATATTTACAAGGTTGTGCAACCATCACCACTGTCTAATTCCAGAATCTTTCACCCCAAAAAGAAATCTAGTACCCATTGTCACTCCCCATTCTCCTCTGTCCCCAGCACCTGGCAACTCACTAATCTACTCTCTATCTCTATGGACTTGCCTATTGAACCAAGGTACTTTTGATCCCAAATAATAATGACCAAAATGATCTCAATCCAGTAAACCTAGGAGACACACACACACACATACACATGAATTTGACTCTGCCAACACCTCGCCTTCCCTTTTGGTACGCAGAACTCCTCCTTCCACCCCATCCCCCTAACTGTGTCTTGGAGGTGATGTATCTGTATTTGTCCTCCTCAGGGTACAACCCATCCAACCCTTTCCTTTTCTGTCAAAAACCATGACATGTTCTATCAGCGTCCTGCATCTGTGAGGTAATGCTTAGGTAAATTTATCTCTGCTCAGATGCTAAGGAGTAACAGATTTACATTTTAATGCAGAACTTCTGGAGTCTATGGCTCAGCTAGGATGACCATCTGACCCAGCTTTTTGGGATTATCTCAGTTTATGCCTGTTGCCCTGGCAAAATTATTAATAGCATCCCCTTACCCTCTCAAGAGTGTCCTGGTTTGGGTGTTTAAGTAAATGGTCACCCAACCATAACCAAAATAAATGACTAATCATGGTAATTATGGGCATTGTGTCAGGCCAACAAGGGAAATGTATTTAGGGAAATGAAGTTTTAATGTTTCTCACACTGCACCGCAGCTCTGCATTCCCATAAGAGGTTTAAATTCACCAACCTGTAGGAATCAGGGTTTCATCCACAGGCAAAAAAGCATCAGCTTCTATAGTGACTTCATGGTCGTATATATTCGGGGAACCCTGGGAGAGAAAAAGTAGAGAAAGAAAAGAAGGTTTAGTGCTCAGTCTTATTTTATATGTTTGCTTTATAACTTCTCTTGCAGAAATGTTTTCAAGTATTGACGAAAACTTTAGAAATCCCATTTGACCTATGATGATGATTAATTCGTTCATTTAAGTTAGGTAGATAGGGGCTCAAACATAGCAGCCGATACATTTGGAAGAAACTTTCGAGTGTGACCCCAGCATGCATGTTCTTTTCTGAATGGAATTATGAAAGTGAAAAGTCAGAGAAACAACAGTGGTTTGAAAGCCTTTTGGATTTTGACTTATTAGCAGAGGGTTTTCTTCTACTGTCCTCACATGCCAGGCAAACAAAAGAGCAAGGGTCAGTGACCTGTAACACACAGGTGGACAGCCAAAGCATCACCTCTAGGCTCACTAGGGGTGGGCCATGTCACCCCTTCTCTGGCCTAGTTCCCACTCAGAGGACCCACTCCCTCCTCCATGGCAGAAGGCTGGAAGTCAGAACTGGGGTCCCATCTCCCCTGTAAAGATGCAGCCTGACCTCCTGGTGGAGTCAAAGGCTGGTCCCTGAAGCACTGGTCAGTGGTCAGAAAGGCCCGGGGTCTAGTTCTGGACTTATTTCCTTCAGTATAAAATCGGTCTGATGTCCCCATTCTGTCCAGGGTTCTTGGGGAACAGTTCAGTAAGGATGTGTTGTGTTACTTACAAACTGGAAAATACACATATATGTTTCTAATAAAAAGGATTACATTTTAATAGCAGTATTTTAAAGCTTCACAGCAAAAGACGTGGAAAGGAAACCAAGTGAGGGCTTTTGCTGAGTGAATGCTCAAAAATAAACGAAACCGGTAGTTTTCAGCTAGGGATGATTTTGCCCCACAGGTGTCTCGAGACATTTTTGATTGTCACGGCTGGGGGTGGTAATGCTACTGGGGAAGCAGTCGTGTGAAGAGGCCAGGGATTCTGCCAAACGGCCTACCATGCTCAGGTCAGCCTCCGCACCCCGGCAACAAGGAGTCATCTGGCCCCAAATGTCAACAGTGCCGAGGTTGAGAAGCCCTGAGCTCAGCTAAACTGAAGGCTCCGAGGGGTTCCTGAGAAGTGAGCAGAGAGAGGCAGAGTGCTCTGGGTTAACTGAGAACATATTCTACTGTCAGAAGGCCTCAGCCACGAAATCAAATGGAGTCGTCCAGAGGACAAAGGCCAAGATTTCAGAGGCTGTGAGAATCGATGTCTAAACATGACAGAAATCGGTTTATTTACACTACCAGGAGGCTCTGTTTCTAACGAACTATGATTCTCCTGTACTGTCCCAGCGGTCAAGGGTAGGAGTGGGTGGGAGACAAGGCTGGGGCAGAGGCTTCTGCCCACACTATCTTAGCCACTTGTTTGGTCCCTGATCTGACCTGGGAAGGCAGGTCCAAAATGGGAGTGGCCTGCACCCCCGCCTAGAGCTGTTCCAGCCTAGAGGGGTCTCTCTCCTGTGTGGCTCTCCCTACTGTCACCTCAGGCCTCAGGCTACTGCCAGTACCGAAGAGGCCCCTGGGACTGAGGGTAGCCGCTGTGAGGGAATGAGAATTTGGGACTCTTTCTTTGGCTCTAATTGTTCAATGCTCAATTCAAGACTGAGTAGTCTTCCACTGTATAAATATATCACAACTTATCTGTTCTCCTATTGATAGACTTTTGGGTTGTTTTGAGTTTTTTTATTATAATGAATAGAGCTTCTTAGGAATTTCCTTGTTCTGTTTATTTTTTAGCACTAGGGCAGGAAGAAAATGATTCAGTATGAAAATCACACACCACTAAATTGAGTCCAAGATGTGGGGAAGAAGCCTGGGAGGAGAAGGAAAGGAACACTGACTAGGCACCCACTCTCTGAATTGTTGGGTCATTAAACAGCAGTAACATTCCTTCAGTAAAGGAAGCACGCTTTTCATTTTATGACTCTTCTGACCTGGAATAATGCAATGTCTACTCTGGTGGAATATTACTGTTGGATTCTTTTCCTTTTCAGGCTGATGAAAACTTGGCAAGGAATGCTGATTCACAAACAGAACTGAGGCCCATCTCTGAGTTCAGTGTTTGCTTTGGTTAACTTTGGCTGCTACTATTTGTAACATTAACCATTTATAAAGCTCACTGTGGCTTGGATGGGGCTTTAAAGACCTTTTTGTGCGCTGCCACTACCACTTCCTTACTTCAGCTCTTATCACCTCTAGCAGGATATAACAGACACTATTGGTTACTACCCAAAAGCTATCTCAACTCCATTATCAGCACCCTCCCTCTCCCCTGGCAGAACACTGACTTGTTGATTTAGCCTAAGTGAGGATATATTCAGGGAAAGGAACCCCACCCAGGCCCCAGAGGGCAAACTTTGATTTGTCTAAGCCAACCATTGTAGTCTAATTCCCTTGCTGGTGATTGGGTTAAGCAGAGCGTAAGACATACTTCTGGCCAACAAAACGTGAGGAAAGTCTGCTGAGGAGCTTCTAGAAAAAGTTTTGCTTGTTCTTAAAAATGGAACATTAGAGATATGAAAAAAAGAATAGTTCCTTTTTTTATGTCTGGATGTGACTATATGAAGAGGTGATTCATGGAGCTGTGGCAACCATCTTGTGACCATGAGGGGATAAGCTGGAAGACAAAAACCAGCTTGAAGAAGCAGAATGGAAGAAGCAGAATGGAACGATGGAAGAATTTGGGTCCTTGATGACATACCTACACAGTCATACCAAAACCAGAACTATTGCTTTTCATCTCAAATTGCCCCAGGCCTGCTTTCATAGATCTTTAGATAAAGTTTCAGTTAAAAAAAAAAAAGTTCTCCCAGTTTTGTGTTAGATAAGAAAGGAACGGCCAAAAAAAAAAAAAAAAAACCAACCTGCAACCTACATACCTTTTCCATTCTTTGAAAAACACAGTGCTCTCCTCCCCCTAGGCCTCCAACACTCAAACTTAGAAGTGATGAGTCAAAGTTTGACCCCCAAGTAGGACAAAAATACTGCTTATTAAATTTAAAAAACAAACAAAAAGAAAATATATAAGATGAGCTGACTATTGTAAATATCAAGTTTCGAGCTATTTACCTGGGGAGGGTTTAAGACACACAATAATGCTTTTCCAGGTAGGGCAAGAGATGTTCTGAAAATGCAGGGAGACCCCTTGACCCCAGGCCGGATAACTGCCTACCAACCCTTACCTGATGCTCCAAAAGGCTGGTGGCCCTCACCCACCCCATCCCTGAAGCTAGAGGCTGTGGATGTGAGCTGTACTTACTAAGACAGCACACAGAAGGGAGTTGACCCTGACCGCCCTTCAGTGTGGGGTCTGTGATCTGGGAAACTATTCAGCCTCTGGAAAAAAATTTAGAAATTTTTAGGAGTCACTCCAAGTCCTTGTAGGATTGGAAGGGTAGAAAATTCTGGTCAGGAGGGTCCTCCTCTCACATAAGCAGAAAGAGCCTTAGTGAACCTTACGTTCCCATTTTGCATCCTACATTGGAACACATTGGCAGAGTAATACTTCACGCCTAATTTCTTTTTCTATTTCTGAATCTATTCCTTTAGATCACCCCCTTAGTTACAAAAATGTGGAAAATAGTGAAAAATCACCATGATCTATTACCCACATAAAACCATTAATATTTTGTTCTATTTCTGTCAAGTTTCTTTCTGAACTTATTTTAAAAAGTGGGGTCTTCCACCTCCTAGAGAAATGGAAATAAAAACAAAAATAAACAAGTGGGACCTAATGAAACTTCAAAGCTTTTGCACAGCAAAGGAAATCATAAACAAGACCAAAAGACAACCCTCAGAATGGGAGAAAATATTTGCAAATGAAGCAACTGACAAAGGATTAATCTCCAAAATTTACAAGCATCTCATGCAGCTCAATAACAAAAAAACAAACAACCCAACCCAAAAATGGGCAGAAGACCTAAATAGGCATTTCTCCAAAGAAGATATACAGACTGCCAACAAACACATGAAAGAATGCTCAACATCATTAATCATTAGAGAAATGCAAATCAAAACTACAATGAGATATCATCTCACACCAGTGAGAATGGCCATCATCAAAAAATCTACAAACAATAAATGCTGGAAAGGGTGTGGAGAAAAGGGAACACTCTTGCACTGCTGGTGGGAATGTGAATTGGTTCAGCCACTATGGAGAACAGTATGGAGGTTCCTTAAAAAACTACAAATAGAACTACCATAGGACCCAGCAATCCCACTACTGGGCATATACCCAGAGAAAAACAGAATTCAAAAAGAGTCATGTACCAAAATGTTCATTGCAGCTCTATTTACAATAGCCCGGAAATGGAAACAACCTAAGTGTCCATCATCGGATGAATGGATAAAGAAGATGTGGTACATATATACAATGGAATATTATTCAACCATAAAAAGAAACGAAATTGAGTTATTTGTAGTGAGGTGGATGGACCTAGAGTCTGTCATACAGAGTGAAGTAAGTCAGAAAGAGAAAGACAAAAACCGTATGCTAACACATATATATGGAATCTAAGAAAAAAAAAATGTCATGAAGAACCTAGGGGTAAGACAGGAATAAAGACACAGACCTACTAGAGAATGGACTTGAGGATATGGGGAGGGGGAGGGGAAAGCTGGGACAAAGCGAGAGAGATGCATGGACATATATACACTACCAAACGTAAGGTAGATAGCTAGTGGGAAGCAGCCGCATAGCACAGGGAGATCAGCTTGTTGCTTTGTGACCACCTAGAGGGGTGGGATAGGGAGGGTGGGAGGGAGGGAGATGCAAGAGGGAAGAGATATGGGAACATATGTATACATATAACTGATTCACTTTGTTATAAAGCAGAAACTAACACACCATTGTAAAGCAATTATACTCCAATAAAGATGTAAAAAAAAAAAAAGTGGGGTCTTTATGCTCATGATTGCAGAGTCTCTTATGGCTTGTGTGTGCTTATTTTTTGGTTTGTCTTTAAGATCTCAAGAAGGATGGTGGAAGTTCCTGAAGATAAGGAACAAGCAAGTGAAGAACTGTCTTTCTTATTTTCAAATTATGTAAGAACCAATTAACTCATGCTATTTGAAAAGATTCTAGAAAAGAAATCAGCATATCATCAACAAAATCCTAAAAAGTGTAAAAATGCAAGATATTACTAGCTGGCTGTGAACATCATTTTGTAGTAGGAAATCATGCCAAAGCGATTCAAGTCTAGTATACAATGATGAGCTTCTTAGATGAAGAGAAAGTCATAGATAGAATCTACAGATTTTAGCTAAGCCTTTTTTTTATTCTGTCTCATGTAATAGCCTCCTCAGCAAGCTAAAATATTATCATTAGGAGGGAATGAGGTAGTTTAGAGGGAATTACCTAAGGGGGGCTGTCAGTGTCTCCACACCACTCCTAGGGTGGGCCGTACAGCGGGAGCACACAAACATTGTCAGCATTTATCTAAAGGGGCTGGGCTAAGCACATCTTCAAGGATCCAGTGATGGAAAATGCCTTAATTGGAAGTAATTTTGGTGGGGCGGTGTGGTGAAACTGGAGTGAAACTGGTGAAGCAAATGTAAGCACTTGCTACAATTAGATGACAGGGAGTTCTTTAAATAGCTTGTTACCTGTCTGAGCGTGTGGGGCAGCACAATGTACTCATTTCCCTATAACTTCCATTTGTGGACCACCTATTATGAGTCAGATGCTTTGCTGGGCACTTTTCCTCATCCCAGGGGTGACCCCATCGCCAGGGTAATTCCATACTGGGTTAGTCTCTCCAGTCACTCCCCCAGGTCATTCCACAAAGCACAATGCAGGAGAGAAGAGGGAAGTGGCACTTCACACTACAGCAGGTGATCAAAGGCAAGTTCACCTACCTGGCCTGCCAGGTTGAAGTAAGAATGGTTGGTCAGATTGACCGGAGTGGTCTGACTGGCCTGTGCTCGGTAGTTGATCACGAGCTCCCCGCCATCCAGTGTGTATGTCACCCAGACTTTTAACTCTCCAGGGTAGCCTTCCTCACCATCTGGACTGACCCGTGAGAACTCGACTCCATTTGACAGCACCTGAGGGGTCCACAGGACCTGGAAGAAAGTGTTTTTAAAGCTGTTTAGTCACTCCAATCCCAAGCTAAATGCCACATTTCAATATTTAAAGACAACTTGGAATCTGAAAAATAAAACAAACCAGTGAATATAACAAAACAGAAACAGACTCACAGACACAGAGAACAAAGTAGTGGTTACCAATGGGGTTACCATAGGGGTAGGGGATTAAAGGTACAAACTACTATGTATAAAATAAATAAGCTACAAGGATATATTGTACAGCGTGGGGAATATAACCAATATTTTATAATAAATTCAAATGGAATGTAATCTTTAAAAATAGTGAATCACTATGTTGTACACCTGAAATGTATATGTAATCTTATATGCCTTATCGAGTGCCCATTATGAGCCTAGGCTCTTTGCTAGAAACTTCGCAGACACTATCTGTCTCAGGGCTGACGTAAAGCAGGTGCCATTATCCTCATTTAAAGATGAGAGGATGGAGGCTCAGAAAGGATAAACTGCTTGTCCCAGGCCACACTGCCAATAAGACAGTGGATTTGAATCAAGTTGTCTGATCCTGAGTCTGCTTCCTTATTCTACACCATCAGAGGACAAGGTAGCCAGAGACCCCCCAGTCCCTTTGGGGAGCTCTGGGGTCACTAGGAAAGGGGCCCTTTGCAGACATGAGACCTCCATTTGTTGGGTGCTCACCAGCCAGTCACTGACCTGGTGCTTTACATAAACCATTTTATAAGGTAAGGATTTAGTTGAACCAACCGAAATTACCATCTTTATAGGTCAAAACAGTTGAGCACTGGCAATTTCACCTGGCTCCAACTAATATTATTACCCCCATTTTATAGATGAGCAAATTGAGTTCAGGGGGGCTAACTTGCCCACTTCCACCTCCCACATTCCAGGGGATGGAGTAGAACCCTGTCATAATTCATGCAATTGTTTAAAGGGAGAAATATCTTGTTTAAAGTCATACGTGTAATTAGTGACAGAGCTAGGATTCAAACTTAGCCTGACAGTCTACACTATTCCACATCTTACTTTCAGTCAGTGTTTTGTTCCAATCTTCGTTCCCAACAGCAGAGTTGAGGCCAAACACTCTCATTGCAAATAGAGTTGGAAGATAATAACTTCTGTGGGTCACAGGAATGGCCCACGAGCCCAGGCTCTGCCCACCCACTCCTGGCATGGCCTGGATCTCTCTCACTGACACTGCATTCACCAGGAAGAGGAGCCCAGTGGGAACGGAGGTCTCTGCCTTCACCTACAGTGAAAGCAGCTGGTATTTGAAACAAATTTGCTGACTTTAGTAAAAAATTAATTTTACACCCTAATTATCTCCCGGAAATGTTGCCTGGTATATGTGTTATTAAATAAAGAAAAAGGAATCCCCCAAACGGAAAATTTTAGGAATAGAATATTTGAAATAAAATCGTCTTAACTTGCTACCTAGTTTTTTTCCTTTAGAGAAAGGACACAATGGAAAGATTTTTGTGTAAAGCAATATTATCAGATAAAGTGGAAAGTATAATTCCTATTCACGGGAGGATTTCCCTGACCCTATGGTTTCCAAATTTCCTGAAAATTTCCGCATTTGCATCTCTAGGCCTACTTAAACCATTTCTAATCCTGTCAGGTTGTTCAAATTTCATCTTTAAAAAAATGTGTTGGTATAAGTAGAAAAACACATACCTGCAAACCAACAATTATTCAGTAATTGTTGAAACCAAATGCAACTTAAAACAAAGTCCATGTGATACTGCTCATGTTGCTACATGAAAACCTAGTGGCCTAAAACTTTCAGTGGCTCCAAGATTGCATTCCAAGTCTTTCCCCATCCCTCTGTGGGCTGTTGCACAGCCACTCTCCAATATCCACTTATTAAATGACATACTATCTTTTCTTCAAGAACAGTTCAAATCCAACCTCCCCAGTTGCCATTAATTTGTCCATACCCAGTTCCTGTAGCACACCCCTGGCATCTGTGTTATGGGGCTTGTTGCCTGCAACAGTTATGTAAGAATCCCTCACTATACTGGAGTCTCAGGAATCCCCATCCCCCTGGTTCACAGAAGGGGCTCAGCTGACACACTGCATAGGACATGAATACTATCCTTCTGCGTTTGTTCATACAGGGCATGCCCCATTACACAACACCACAGAAAATTCCATGTGGAACAGGAACCAGGTGAGCAGGAACAAGCTAGAACAAGGTGCTGAGGCTCCTCCGAAGATCCCTGGCCAAACAGAGCTGGGTCTAACTTCCTCTGGCTGGGGTTTGCCCATGCACCTGGCATATTCCAGAGACCCTCTGCCTTAATATTGCCAGGACAGAGGATACCCTCTGCCTTCATGTCTCCCTGGCGTGAGGAGTTCCATCATGGAGGAAAGGGGAAGTGATGGGGCAGTCCGGCTCTAAACCACAGACAGGAAGCTGGTAGGACAGGGGAAACAGAGTGACCAACTTCCTTCAACAGCATGGGTGGCGGTAAGAGGTAGAAAAGAAAACACTGTGATCCTTAACTGCCATACATGTTCCTGTCTTCTCTGGCTTTTTTCTAGGAAGTAACCTGGGTGGTATAATTTAAAGGAAAGCTAACTACCAAAATTACCTCTCTGAAATTAGACTAGTAACAGAATCACTGGGGTTCACCTGCAGGCTCCCACGCAGCTAAGAAACAGGAGGGCAGGCATTCCTACCTCAGGGAGAAGCTGTTTGGTCAATTTGTTTTCCTAACCTGGTTTTCCAGGGATTCACTTAGGGGATGGGAGTTTTAACGTGGAAAGGGGGAACCGGGGAGAATCGAGGTCATTTTGAGGCGTGAGGCACTTCATTGGAAGGGCAGCCTGGATGCAGTGCCACAATGCATAGGGAGGGGCTCACAGACAGATACATGGGGTGTGTTGGGTTGGGGGCACCCACAGCAGCCGTGGCGGACACCAGCAGCGGTAGTATAGGAATGAGGGCTTTGGGTCAGGCAGCCCAACTTAGGAGCTGTGTGGCCTTCCAGGGCCTCAGATTTCTCATTTGGTGACAGTACAGGGTTCTAGTGAGGGTGGGAGATGATATATGCAAATGCCGTGTGCAAGAAGTGATGGGTATTATTTTTAATCCACTTTTCTGTTGTGCCTAAGGTCAACCAACTCTGATGCCAAAACTGTGAGAAAGGTGCTCCCTGTCTTTCCTAAGGGCTGTCATCCTTTCACTCAGGGCTCTCCTGCCTATTAGAGTCAGATGAGCTAGTGAAGGGTGGCTCCTGGAACACAGCCGGCACATCTGCTCCCCCAAACCATGGGAGCAGCCTCTTTCCTGTATCACCTTACCATGCATTTGCTCTAGGGCCTAGGATTGTGCCTGGCAAACAGAAGGTATGCTTGAAGGTACTCAGTGAAGTGTGCCAGGTGAGGACTCCATCCGATGCCCCCAACTCACCTTATCAAACCCTCTGACTCCTCCATGCAGGCTGTTGGGCCCATTGTTAATGGCCAGCTGATACTCCTTCCCATCCAACGTGAATGTTCCTTTGGCAATTCTGTTGGCCACCCTGCCAACCACTGCTCCAAAGTAGGGTTGCTTTTGGAGGTATCCTGCAAGGGTATGGGATGACAGAGTTTTTTAATAACTTTAAACCAAAGACAAGGCTCACACCGCTGCCCACCACTTCCTTCTGAGGGCAGCTGCAACTTGGGCATATCTGCGTCCACAGGGAAGCAAGGAAAAATGGTGTTCTTTACACATGACCTTTTCCCTTTCCAAAAGCAATTCATGTTCTTTCCAAACATTTTAAAAGAGCTTTCTAGGGCTTCCCTGGTGGCGCAGTGGTTGAGAGTCCGCCTGCCAATGCAGGGGTCACGGGTTCGTGCCCGGGTCCGGGAAGATCCCACATGCCGCGGAGTGGCTGGGCCCGTGAACTATGGCCGCTGAGCCTGCACGTCTGGAGACTGTGCTCCGCAATGGGAGAGGCCACAACAGTGAGAGGCCCAAGTACCGCAAAAACAAACAAACAAACAAAAGAGCTTTCTAAAGCACAAAGAAGAAACTTAAATCATCCTGATCTCAACACTAGAGAGGACTGTTAGTATTCTTATGTATATCTATGTATGTATACCTTTCCATCTTTTAGTATATGTGTGCATATGCTTTTCTTCTTATAAAACTGAGGTCTTCATATATATGCTGCTCTGTAATTTGCTTCTAGGCCCATTTTCTTAACTAAAAATTATATTTTTGTGTAGTCTTAAAAAGAAACTATCTTATGCTTCTTTTTCTTTTTTAAAAATTATACAATTAGTACATGAAAATTTCCTTTAATGAGCATTAAATACCCAAGTATATAGAGTAGCCTTGCTGGAGGAAACACAGGACACCTGTTAAATCTGAATTTCAGATAAACAGTGAATAACTTTTTAGTGTAAGTATGTCCATATTATTAGAATACATGGGACATTCACATAAAACATATTTATTGTTTATCTGAAACTCAAATTTAGGTGGGTGTCCTACATTTTTATTTGTTAAATCTGGCAAGCTTAATAAAGAGTAAAACATGAAAACCATCCTTCATTTCTCAACTCCTCTCCTTCCCACTGATAATCACTGCTAACACTCTGGGATATACACTTCCAATTGCTTGTTTTTGTTTTTTAAATTAACTACATATAAGCACAAACAAATACTCAAACACACACATATTCTACATAAAGAGACAAACTACACATATTGTTTTGCAACTTTTCATTTATCAAATGTCTTAAGATCATTCCATGTGACTCCATATCCGTCTACCATATCCCTTTTGATGGCTATATGGCATGCTGATGAGCATAAACTGTTGTTGGGCTTTTCTGGGGGGCGGGGGGTGGGGCGGGGACATAAAGAGTGGTGTAGCCAGTGTCCTTGTACGTACAACGGTATGTGTGGGCATATTACAGTAACTTCCTTGTCTTTAAGCTCCTCTATGCTATAATCTTTTAGTTTAGATCATCATGGCAGAGATTAAGGTTTGGAGGTAGTTCATTTTTTTGTATTATTGCTACGATTACTTTCTGCTCTATTTTTCACTCAGTTGTCCTTGGAACTCCATCCCCCCTTCATGTGGTACTCTGTATCCATCACACCTACTGTGGGTCAGAAGAGTATGTGATTCAAGTGCATGAACTCTTTTTACCATGGCTGGAGGGGCTCTCAGGATATGGGCCCTGAACCTACTGGGCCAGTTATAGGTCACACGTTCCCATTACTCAACTGGTTGGGCATAAGTGAAACATTAATCACTCTCTTCCAGGTCTTCCCTGGTTCACTTCCTTGCCAATCTGCAGGTCCTCAGGGTCCTGCCCATAGACTCTCACAAGAGCTAACGGTTACTGACCGCTTCCTAAGTCTCAGCCGCTTTCTAAGTGCTCTACATTTAAATCATTTCATCCTCAGAATACTGCTATAAGGTAGGCAGTATCATTACTCTCATTTTACAGGCATGGACATTGACGACAGAAGGTTAAGTAACTTGGCCCAAAACACACAGCTAGTTAGTGGCAGAATCAGGGTTTAAACCCAGGCAGTCTGGCTCCTGAGTACATGTTCTTAAGCATCACATTATTTGGAGAGCACAAGACTTTCTGGTTAATTGACCTTACCACCATCTCTCAGCACAGGCAAGGCTGAGTCTCCACCAGCTTCCACCTCTCTCCCCACCTTCTTCTCTGAAGCTGTAGCTTTAAAACCCCTTACATTGAGTAACAAAAAGGGGTCTCTAGGACTTCCCTGGTGGTCCAGTGGCTAGGACTCCACACTTTTCCTGCTGAGGGTGTGTTCCATCCCTGGTCAGGGAACTAAGATCCCACAAGCCGTGCAGCACGGCCAAAAAAAAAAATAACTAACTAATAATAATAATAGGTCTCAATGTTGTTTTCATTTGCATTTCCCTGATGACATATAATTTCATTTGCTAATCGGGAGCTCAAAAATGTGAAGAAAAGCAGAATTTTTGTTCAAAAATTGTTTGGCTCTATCTCTTTTTGACTCCTACATTGGTCCATTCAACAAGCGTACACCAAGCCCCTACGCTCTGCCAGCCCCATGCTTGGCATCAGAGACAAGGACGAATTCAACAGCAAGGCTGCTGCCTCATGGGCTTGCAAGAATTCCCTAGGAAGGGACCACTTTTTGGCAACAATTAATAAGCCAGTGGAGGTAAGAAGCCCTTGGTTTAGATGAAGAGTTTTTAAGGATTAAACCACAAGGACAGCAGAAACCACTGTTCTCAACTGTCTCTGAGAAACTCTTCAGAACACATGGATTTTATACTATTTTCACAAGTTACTAAGCTTTTAAATCAAGTCAGAATTACAAAACGTGATAGTCCCCAAATTCTGATTAGGACTAAAAAGCTTGTTTTTGAAATGCAGAAAATACTGTTTTCCATGAAAAAGGGCAAAGTTTCTAGGTCGACAGGAATGCTGATTCAGTCGTCAGTTGCTGATGTAGGATAAAGGGTAGACAAAAAGTTTGTCCCTTTTTCTGGGCAAGGGACTGGCCAGAATATATTAATAAATGCTTAACCATGGGGTATGGCCCTGTCCACTCCTCAAGTATCCCAAGGATCCCAGCTATGACACCCACCTCAGACAGCCCAAACTTCAGCACGAGTGCCACAAATCTCAAATAAAATCACTCAGGAGTCTCAGTCAAACACTCCACACCTGAGAGACTTTCTTTCGGCTTTCTAAGGAAAATAAACACTAGTTTAATTGACAAGCACTTTTAGCATCCCAAATATTTTATATACTTTTAGATGGCTGCTGGTTGTCCCAGAGGAAGCTCCATGCCATTTTGTGCACAGTTAACAAAGTGAAATTAAAAAGTTCAAGGAGTAAGAGGGAAGATATTTGGGGGCAAAGGAAGGAGAGGAGATTAAAATGATTAATTGTTCACTATAGTCAGACATGATCACAGCCAATAGCATTTTAATCCATTTGGTTCAAGTGAGGAAACAGATCTAGAGAGGTTAAATAACTTGCCCAAGGTCTCATAGCTTTAAGGGACAAAGCAGAGATTTTAAACTAGGAATCCTCAAAGCTCCTACAAGGACATTCTTGGGCATCTGTAATATTAAACTGCAACCTCTAAACTGGTCTCTTTTCCTCCCACCCCCTCTTATAAACGCAGGTTTTCTAAGAGCACTAAGTTTATTTTTTTCTAAGCTTTCCATAATGGCTCTCATGGCAGTAATAGCTGGGTGTTGGTGGCAACTGGGCAGAAGATGAAGGGGGAGGAATAGCACTGATTACATGGGTAGATTATTTACACCTCTGGCTTATAGGAAATATCCTCATCACGGGTTTTGAAAGAAGTCATAATGACTGCAGGTGGGACGTGCAGATGAAAAACATTAAAAAATATTTTTAATTAAAAAAATGGCAGAAAAAATACTTCACAGGAGGCATTACTGATTTTTCTAGCCTATAACTAAAAGATCACATGATTTACCTCTTTAGAATTCTAAAGAAGAAAGATCTCATTTTCCGAGGGAGAATTTGAACTATTCTGACCTCCAGTCATGCCATCAGCCAAGTAGTTTATAAAATCTATCTGGGAAATTAGAGGTAGTTCACATCTAACCTGGCAAATTACAAAAGGACCATGTCTCATGGAATCATCCATGCTTAGCTCTTCACCTTGGCTCAAAACATTTTTTGGAGCATGGTAATATTACTCACTTTTACATCTTATTGCTTTAAATTATTTGCCTCAGTTTGTTTATATAATACTTACATACTCAGACGTTCTAAAAGACAGTACAGTGAAAATCTAGCCTCCTTCCTGTCTCTGTACCCCAGCTACCCAGAGTCCCTTCTTAAAGACATCCTCTGTCGCCAATTTCTTAACATGGGTTTTAATACACTAGAATTGATCAAAATAGTAGCAGACCGCCATTTCACACTATTCTAATTGAGGCAGTTATGCTTCCTGTAATGACATATATGAAGTTCAACCTCGAAGATGGCTAAACATATCAGAAAGCCTCACTTGACATTCTAAATGCTTCTTTATCTTTTGAAAATAGCTTGCTCTCCTTTTTAAATAAGTAATTAAATTATCTAAATTATAGCATAGGATTGAAAATGTCTATCTTGATCTAGCACCTAGAATACTTTACTTTTTTTTTTTTTTTTTTTTTTTGGCCACGCTACTACGCGGCTTGCCGGATCTTAGTTCCACGACCAGGGATGGAACCTGTGCTCCCTGCAGTGGAAGCGTGGAGTCCTAACCACTGGACCATCAGGGAATTCCCAGCACCTAGAATACTTTAGATGCTTTGATTCGACCTGGCATTTTGTGGTGCCTGTGACACAGCCTGATAAGAGAATACTATTTAACTTTCTCAAGAGATGTTAATAACATGGGGAACAGTAGTCAATACAAGCTAGACCATTGTAATCTGAGGGGGGGTCTATTTTTTTTCTCCCTTTTAAGAACATTTGGGGATAATACTTTCTTCCATCTAGACTCCCACAAGATTCATAGACTCACAGAGACGACTGCATTATTGCCCTCACAAAATAGGCACTTCTATGCCTGCTAAGAAACTGGTGCTTCCCAGGTGCCACATCATCATGGCACACGTTTCATATGAATTCCACAAAGATGCCTTGTGCTTTAAGGTCCATGTGACTCTTATATGAGAACTAAAATTAGTAAGAAGTGAGTGTGTGTATGAGTGGGAGGAGGGGAGGGGGAGGGTAGTTACCTCCTGAATGGTGAGAAAGAAGAGATGGAAATGGGGTGATTAAAGCAGATGCTCACTGCTTATCAACTCCAGTGCTTTACTGGCTCCGAAATTCTAGGTCATCTGTCCAATTCTCCTTGGACTCCACTGGGCAATTTTGCACCAGTCAAGTTATCTCTTTGTGATTCTGGTTCAGTCTAGCAAATGGTTATGCTACTAACAGAGAGAGGTGACTCAGCAAAAGTGATTCTAAAGAATCCTCTTTTGTCACTTGTCAACTCTCTTGCTTTCTGACTCTGAAGACAGAAGATAGGAACACCACCCCCAGAAGTAGAAGGGGGCGTGGAGAGCAAGGGTAAGAGGAGCTGATTTCCCCCAGCCCCTGCACCTTCCTACCAGTGAGTCTCCTGTAATAGACTCGCTGAAATCACCGAAGAAATTCTGCTGAAGGTTACCTACGTCCTGCTCCGAGCCAAGCTGTGGAGGCTCCAAAGGAGCTAAAGACAACCAACCAGAGGGCAAGGAACAGGATCCTCAGAAATATTTTTATAATACATTTCGCTAAGGAAATGAGCCAGTTTTATCCTCCTAAGGGAAAACCAATACTCTCAGGTTTCTTGACCTCCAACAATGAGCTATGTTACATATCTAAAGAACCAAACAGACAGAAAAACAGACACCTAAAGGAAAACCTCAAGCCTCCTCTTAACAGATTTCTCCCGTTGTGGAGCACAGGCTCCGGACGCGCAGGCTCAGTGGCCATGGCTCACGGGCCCAGCCGCTCCGCGGCACGTGGGATCTTCCCGGACCGGGGCACGAACTCGTGTCCCCTGCATCGGCAGTTGGACTCTCAACCACTGCGCCACCAGGGGAGCCCCTCTTAACAGATTTTGTCCATGCCCCTACCACTGAGCAGAGAGAATTAGTTCTCAAGCAGTTGCCCTCTGCTAACTTTATTTCAACCTCATTTTCTGTCTAGCTACTCGGGTGTGCCAAGAGATAGCAAGCACTATGTATATTTTCTTTTGCCCCAATCAAACTGCACTGTGAGTTATTTATTTACGCAAATATTTGGCTAAGGTCTATCTCCACATCTACACTGCAAGCTGCATGATGATGGGGACCTGTCTCATTGAATGAGACAGTTGGATCAACAGTGTTTGAATGCTGGAATTAATACATGTTCTTAATTGTCTACGGATTCCCACAGAACAAAGTCCACCCTAGCTATAAGGAGACTCGTTTCTCGACAGTAAGTTGGTCTTCCTCATTCTTTCAGCACATAGTTATTGATCAGCCAGGGGGTGATCACAGACCAAAGCGGATAAGCTTCTGCACCCACTAAGCTTACCTTATGGAGCATTTCTGAAAAAACCAGACCTCAGAGAATCTGATCAAGGAGAAAGGAAGTAGAAGACGCACGTCTTTGATCATTTTCCTTCTTCAGAAAGGGCAGGAGGAAGAGCAGGGGGCCACACCCGCTCTGGCCTGCACTTTCCCCTCCCCCCCTTACAAAGATCCGGCAGCTCAAAGATCGCTCCAGTGTTGCTGGAGTTTATCTTACCCTCAACTGACTTTTTAAATAAGACAAAGCCTGAATGTATAACCAGAGGCCCAGTCCTACGTCAGTTTCTATTCATTTTGTCTTTTTCCAAACACTGGATGGCAACACAGTGAGTTAGCCGGATCCAAGTACTCCTGATGGTCACAAGCTCCGTACTTCCCCTGCATCCCTGCATCCCGGGCAGGCTGTGTGGGGCAGTGTGCCAGGTGGAACTGGGGCCCGTCCGCAGCCCAGGGCGTAATTCAACCCACCTTCCAACTCAGCAAAGCCGAGCACCAAGTCTGAGGCTCTGCCCTGCCTGTCTTTAACCTCCAGGGCCGTGATGGTGCAGCCCCAGGAGATGATGTCTACTCTCAGTTGGTCTGACTGCAGCTGGAACTTCTCCACCGTCCCTGCCCCCAAGGGCAGGTCTCCAAAAACCGCTCTGGTCACCGAAACCATGGGGAAAGCCAGGGGTGTGCAGCTTCTCCAGGTCCTTCGAACTCCCGCCGCCAAACCTGGAACGGCAGAAGTTTACTGGAGAAGGGGCGGGACACGGCTCAGACTCCTCCCTTTTCTTGCCTGGATTTAGGGAGTGACCGCTCCTGCAAAAAATATCCTCTGGGAGATTTCTAAATCATTCCTTTGCCTGAGGGTGGCACGCAGGCAAAGTTTCCAGCCAGGCTGGCAATTTCCAGCTAGTTCCTTTCCTTTACTAACGCTGACTGCATTGCATGTTGGGAATGGTAGTCTTTGGAAGGTGAAATTGCATGTTGGGGCCTGTAGTCTTTCTAAACCCAAATCCTGAATCTGCAGGGTTCTATTGCCTTCGCTGACACGAGGTTCTCAATATGCAATGATCTGTTCATTAATGGTGGCTAACTTTCAGATAAAACGCTGATTAATGAAGAGATCAGAATTAGGAATAGTGAGGGAAGGAAAAGTTGGGGGAAATTTTGGTTTTTAAGTTAACTCTTTGATCCAGACCGGAAAGAAGTATGGAGGTAATTTAGAGAAGGGGTAAATAATTGCAGGTTTCTCTGCACACTGACTGAAGATGCATTCTGTTTGTCCCGCACAAACAACTCTGAACATGTTTCTGCTGGAGCCACTGCCAACAGCCTGGACAGGGTCACGTGTAGGTGATTAGGGCCTAGTTTATATGGAGACAATCTCTGACTTTCTTTTCTTCAGGGAACCGGGAAAGGACCTTGGGTATATACCCCTTCTTGTTCCTGAAATCCAAAGTTCCTTTAAGAAGGGATTAAGGATAAATATTTATTAATGTCATATACTGTACTTTTATTATCTGCTTTCCATAAGCAGAAAAAGGCTTTAAGTGGGACTTCCCTGGCAGTCCAGTGGCTAAGACTCTCCGCTTCCAATGCAGGGGATGTGGGTTTGATCCCTGGTCAGGGAACTAAGATCCTGCGTGCTGTGGGGCGTGGCCATCAACAACAACAACAAAAGGCTTTAAGTATGCACTGCTAGAAGAGAAAAGACACAGAGGTCATAAATAATAGTTATGCTTTGATGTGCCTCAGAATTATCTACAGAGATTTATTTTTTTTTTTTTTTTTTTTGCGGTACGCGGGCCTCTCACTGCCGTGGCCTCTCCCGCTGCGGAGCACAGGCTCCGGACGCGCAGGCTCAGCGGCCATGGCTCACTGGCCCAGCCGCTCCGCGGCACGTGGGATCTTTCCAGACCGGGGCACGAACCCGTGTCCCCTGCATCGGCAGGCAGACGCTCAACCACTGCGCCACCAGGGAAGCCCTACAGAGATTTTTTTAAATGCATCTCCCCAGGCCCATACCTGGAATTATGGATTCTGTGAGTCTAAGGTGAAACTCAGGAATCTGCTTTTTTCACAGGTTCCTCAGGTTATTCTTATGCAGTTTATCTGCGACCAGACTTTGAGAAATATTGCTCCAGGTTTTGATGGCTAATCTCAGATTTTTTTTTCCCTCTGATGGCAGAGGACTAAGATAGAGCTACCAAAAGCCTTGATAGGATTGTCAGATAAAATACAGGGGCCTGGGTTATTTCTTTGCTAAATCTGTCCAGACAGTACTGGGCCTAGGAAGGCAGAGGATTCTGGAAGCCTGACGACATGTTTTACTTGACCATCTGTATACTCAACTCAACTTTGCTTGACACTGCTTTTGATTTGATTCCTAGATACTTCAGAGGGGATCCAACTAGACTGTGGTGAACGCCAAAATGCGTCTATGACTAGGAAATTAGGAGAATTGGGATCCCATTCCTGGAATCAGATGCTAATAAAACATAACAGTCTCTCAGCCCTGTCTGTGTAGTTTGAAGGAATACTTAACATTCTTGCCACAAAACCTCAATTCTCATTCATGAATCAGGGGAATTCTGATAGCAAAGGAAAAAGAGAGCTTGCAGCAAGCTTCAGTGAAGCATAACATATAATAACAAAAAGACCCAAACAAGTCAAATTATAGACTGCACTGCACTCATACAATAACGGGTAGACACTCCTGGTGCTGCTTCATCAGAAATTCTCATAAACTCTGCCACCCTCATCAGCCCACTTAACGTTTATGTGTATGCTGATTCATACACAAGCCCTTTCTGCAATGCTGTATTAGCAAGGATGTCTTAGAATCTCTTCTGTGAGCAGGAAGACCGAATTTTCTTTTCTCGGCCACCCGTTCTCAATGTTCTGCCAAGCTCATGTTGTCACAGAAATAAATAAATGCATCTGGATGGCCAAAGCCAAGTGTCACCAGTGGGTGTCTTGTAGCTTGGCTTGTTGGAAAATGAAACATACCATGATGTCTCTCTAAGAGCTACACTTCTTGATTTCATTTTCCTTTAGCTTTGAAGGGTTTAACATATTGTCCCCAATAGGACTGCTTTGTGCTAAGTCAGGTGTCAGGCACAAATCTTGATTTTTCTTACCAAAATATCTTATGTTCTTAATCTCACAGTGCTAATTTAAAGGAATATCTGTGCACTTAAAAAGGAGAAGAAGGGGCTTCCCTGGTGGCGCAGTGGTTGAGAGTCCACCTGCCGATGCTGGGGACGTGGGTTCGTGCCCCGGTCCGGGAAGATCCCACATGCCGCGGAGCGGCTGGGCCTGTGAGCCATGGCCTCTGAGCCTGCGCATCTGGAGCCTGTGCTCTGCAATGGGAGAGGCCACAATGGTGAGAGGCCCACGTACCGCAAAAAAAAAAAAAAAAAGAGGAAAAAGGAGGAGGAGAAGAAGCTGAAATCTAAGGAAATATTCTCCATCCCAAATGTTGGATTGGGTTAAAAGCAAGGTAGTAATCTTGAGAATGATGAGAATGAAGCATTGTCAAATTTAGGGGGTATTTATTTTTATGTGGGGGATAGGGGCTGAGGGTAAGGTTATGAGGCAAAGGGAGTGGGAACTGTGACATTTAAGTCAAAGAGGAGTTACTTAAAGTGGATACCTTTTCTTTCAACCAGAGAGAGAGGTATCAGGGTGGACAGGTCAAGAATAAGGTCTGTTTTTCTTCTCAGCTGGAGGTTAGTCCCCAAAGCTGAATGCTAGGAGAGTCAGGAATGAGGAATCAAGGCCCTTGCTCCCTGGGCCCCACCTCCTCTTTCTACACAGAAACTGCAGGTGGGCTGTTCCTAGGACCCATTAGACCCTAAGCCCATAAAGATGTCTCCAAAACCTTAAGCTATTGACAGCCTGCTATGCAGAGCAAACTCTCTGAGATATAATAATAGTAAACTCTCTGAGCTATAATAATAAAACCAACTCACAATACCTCACAGTTTGTCAAAAGAGACCTAGAATAGATTCTCTTCAGTCAGGTTGATACATTACCATCCTCCTGTTTCCTTTCTCTTTGCTCAGAACTCCAGTGATGTTTACTGTCAGTTCTCTTTATCAGGTGCTCAGTATGCACTGTCTTAGATGATCCCTGATCTTTCCATGAATACATTTTGTTGTTGTTGTTGTTTATTCAACTATTGGCTCCCTGACTCAGTTTTTTTACATGTATGTTTTATAACCCAAACAACACTATATTTGGTTTCAGATGAAAACTACTTGTATCTGGAAGCCAGGCATACTTGGGAGAATGCAATCAAGTTCATGGGAGGTAGGATTCTTCACAGTTCAATTCATCTCCATTTCATCAACAGTTTTGAAGGAGCTGCTGGGGAAGGTATTATGGGGACAGGTGAGAAGTTGCTGAGGAAGATAGATAAGTTTTGCTGTATGACATGTTCATTTATCAAATAGTCAATAAGTATGTGCCAGGCACTGTGCTAAGTGCTGGTTGTACACTGGTAGGTAAAACATGATCTTTGCCTTCAAGATGTTTACAGTCTAAAGTGATATAATGTTCATCTCTATCCTCCATAAAAACTTCAGTAAAATCTTCAAAATTCAATTCATAGTCAATGCTAGATGAAACAAAGTACTGGGACTGGCCTCAAGATAGCTATAATTTCAGGCTTGCCCAAAGATGATCAGCCATATTGGGAATATTTTAGAATTCCCTAGCACCAAGAACAGTGACAGGCAATTTTAGATGCTCAATAAATAACTATTCAACAAATACATCATACATTTATATATACAATTTTCTAGTGGAGAATTGGTTCTGGTGCCAGAAAACCCAGGTTCATGAGGCAACAGAACTTACTGTCTGGGCAATTTGTTCAACCACTTTGGACCTCAGTTTCCTCATCTATGAAATGGGAATAATATCACATGTTTGACCCATCCAATTGTTAATTGATCACCAGTAAATATTAAGTACTAAAAATTTACTGAGCACTGTGATAAGCACCCCTATGAGTCAGACACTACTACCTTATACAGAAATTGAGACTTAGAGAGATTAAGTAACTTGTTCAAAATCACATGGGTCAGGAAACCAAGATTTGACCCCGGGCTGCTTGACTACAGAGATAGGAGCATTTAACCACTTCCTTATATGCTGCCTAGAATTATGGTCAACTGAGAACATGGATTCCAAAGCACTAACTGAATACTAAAACATAACACTAATGTAAAATATTCATCTTCTAATTTTATGGTAATTGCAAGTTTTAAAAACTCAGTTTCTGGAATTAGGTCACATTGGGTTCAAGAGGGCATTGTATTCACTTACTGTAGGTAAAGAAGGACCCAAGGAGAAGAACTAGTCCTTGGCAACCAAAGACTCTGGAAACTAGGCACTCGTCACCTCTGGACCTATTATATATTCATTTTTTATTTGTTATTATGTCTCCTGCCAAGAAAATGAAGCTCCAAGAGAGCTGGAAATTTCACTGTTACATCCCAGTACCTAGAACAGATTAGTAGATGACTAAAAAAAATTTGTTTAGTGAATGCTTGAGTGCTAGAAAGGATGTGAAGCATCTCTTTTACAAAGCTGGTGAAAGTCTCAAGTGATAAAACTCTGGAGGACAGCTTGTCAATATCTAGTAAAGTCAAAGTACATATAACTCAGCAATGGTCCATAACCAAGCAATTATATTCCTTGGAATATACCGTAGATGATCTTTTGCATATAGGCATAAGAATATTTATGGCAGGGTTTCCCTGGTGGCGCAGTGGTTGAGAGTCCGCCTGCCGATGCAGGGGACACGGGTTCGTGGCCCGGTCTGGGAAGATCC